TCCTTGGTGGGGTCCCGCAGAGTCCAGAGGAAGTGCCGAGCGGCAGGCAAGTACTCGGTTTCTCGCCTGTGAGTGGAGATGACTGTAGCACCTCTCTCCCTGCGGGTTGCTAGAAGGACGCGTCGAGGAATGGGTGTGCAGGGCCCAGCCCATTTCTGGCACGTGGCTGGCACTCAATGAATGCCATGATCATCACACTCTTCCGAGCCAGTAGTCCCAAGGTGGTCCGTGTGGTGTGTGAAGTTCTGGCTTTACCATTAACGAGCCGGCTGGTCTCAGCCTTACTTCTTCCCCTGGAGGGTTGCTGGGAGAGCCCCTGAGCTGGTGTATATGAAGCTGCCGTTTAATAGTAACTGCTACCGTCTGGGGACATTTTCTGGGGACATTATCACAAGATATTGGATGAGAAATAAAAGACTCAGAGAAGTAAAGCAACTTTCTCAAGGTCACACAGCCTTAAGGGATAGAGCTGAGATTGCACCCAGGACTTTCAGACCCCAAAGCTAGTTTCCTTAACTGCTCCAGACTCCAGTTAGAATAGGGGTGCCTAAGTGGGGAGATGGGACTCCATGAACCCCCTGAATTGGCGTGGAAAATGTGGTATGTTACATTTTTCTGGAGAAAGTTCCAAGGCTTTTAATCAGGGATATGATTTTTTTTTTTTGTAATATTCGTGAATTGTCTAAAGAAACAATGCCTGGTGTCGTCCTAAAAGGTTAAGGTGTGCCTCAAACATCCTGACTGTTTCTCCCTGGTATAGGCCACTGTCTTGGGGCTGTTTGTTTCGTCATTAGTTAATCTGATCTCACAGAGACGAGTGGAAATGTGCAGACCAGGAAGGCTGGCAACCGCCGGCCTCCAGCCTGGCCTCTCCCTCACGAGCTGTAATCAGCCGTCAGGTGCAGCAGCTCTCCGGGTGGGGGGCTCAGGGTAAACGGGGCTTCTAATCCAGGCTCGCTCCTCGGAATCCTCCCCCAGGAAGCACAGGAGGAAACCGGGAGTCTGAGCACATGGGGTTTGGAAAGGACGGTGCGTTCCGCGTAGACAGCGCCTGCAGCAGGAGGCACACTCCGAACCCCTAAACGGTTAAATGGAATCCCGAGATCTTGGGGTGGGGGAGGAAGAAGAGAAATAGGAGAGAGAGAGACAGAATTGTGTTGGCGATGGCCTGGGACTTATTTATCGTACTCGCTGTTGATTAAGCCCGCTCCGCAGCAGGCGCGGGTCTGGTAAATACACAGGCTGATTCATTAGTTTCTGACCATCTGCTTCTCGGGCTGGGGGTGGGGGCCAGCGGGCCCTGCAGGTTAGGGCGGCACGGCATCCACAGCCAGGTTGGAGCGCCCGAAACCTGGCAGAGCCGGCCATGTCAGTCTTCCTGGTGACAGGCCGGGCGCAGCTGGGGGCTGTGAGGGATCTGATGTCCCCCATTGGGGACCACGAGGAGGCTGGGCAGGGTGAGGGAAGGCGAGACAGCGGGACGAAGAGAAACCAGGACAAAGGTGAGGCATGAGTGACTTGCAGCAGTCAGGGGTTGACAGGAATAATATCAACACTCAATGTGAGATATATTAATATTAATCTAGTTATGTTAGTAACTAATTAATATGATGACAATAATAACCATAATTTAGTGAGCGGTTACTGAGGTCCAGGCCCTATACAGAAACTTCACTGTACTGTCCCAGGTAAGCACACTAACAACCCTGTGAGGGGTGACGGGGGAACTGGGTTCACAGATTGAGTCAGGCAAGGAGGGCTTCCTGGAGGAGTGCATGGGGGAGGGCTCTGAAAACCGGGAGGAGGGAAAAGGGCTGCAGGAGCACACGCTCAGAGGTGAGAGGGGACGAGGCAGCCAGGGAAAAGTCAGGGCCTTCAGTGGTGTGTTGATAGGAGCTTCCCAGGTGGGCAAAGAAGTGTGACCCCGCCTGGTACCAGCGTGCTCAGAGCCAGGCTGGTGGAGGAGGCCCAGAGAGAGCTTCTGGGGGAACCGTCAAAAACTCACAGTTCAGCCTCGCCCCTCTGAGCCGTTCCGCCCACCTTGACCGTCTTTGCTCACCTGGGATAAAGTGTGTATTAGTTTGCTAGAGTCTGATGGCTTAGACAACAGAGATTTATTTTCTCACGGCTCTAGTGGCTAGAAGTCCAAGATCAAGGTTTGTGTGACCCTTGAAGACCGAGCAGGTTGCTTTCTCCTGAGGCTTCTCCCCTGGGCTTGCAGATGGCCGCCCCCTTGATGCCTCTTCACATGGTCTTTTCTCTGCACACTCGCAACCCTGGTGTCTCTTTGTGGGTCCAAATTTCCTCTTCTTACAAGGACACCAGTCAGATTGGATTAGGGCTCGACCTAATGGCCTCATTTTGTCTTCATCACCCTTTAAAGGCCCGTCTCCAAATACAGTCACATTCTGAGGTCCTGGAGTTAGGGCTTCAATGTATGAATTTGAGGGAGACACAATTTAGCCCCTAACAAAGTGCCAGGGGCAGGAGAAGGGGGGCCTGGGGCTGTGGGAAGAGGGCGACTACTGGGTGGGGATGGGGTGGAGAAGGATGCCAACCTGGGTGCAAACTGTGTCCTCCTGCCTGGAAGTCCAGGTGAGCTCTGGGGCATCTGCCCCACCACTCTCCACCCCAAATGGCACCACCAGAGCTCATTCCGCCTCTGGGCTTGAGGCGCCCTTCCCTTCTGTGGGCCGGCAGAGGGCTGGGGAGGGGCTGTCCCTCCCAGGTAGGCTGCTACCAGGCCTCGCCTCTGCAGGCCATTGAGCCATCCCCATGGGACCTCTCAGCCCCTCCCCATTCAGGGTGACAGCACAGGGTCACTCAGCTGGAGCGCCAGGAAGCTTGGACCCCCAGGAGCTGAGCCAGGCCCCTCCCCCTGCCATGCTGCCTGTAAGGTAGCCAGGGTTTCAGGACACCCCTGAGGTTGTCCAGGACAGGAGCAGGCTCGTCCTCAGAAACACTGCCACTCTCAAGGAGGCCTGGGCCAGGCCTGCCCCACCCTGGGCCTCAGTTTCCCCATCTGCACAGTGAGGAGTTGGAGTCAGTGGTGCACCCCTTCCACGCCGAGGTTTGCGGGTCCGGTGAATCGGCCGGGCTGTGCCGGGGGGGTGGCCAGTGGCACGACGGGGGATGGAGGGCAGAGCTATTTTGGTCACGGAGGGCTTTGTGGAACCTGCCTCAGTGAACCCTAGGGCCAGCCTGCTCACCAAGGAGCCCTGGGCGGCCCAGGACCTCGTCCTCCACTAACGGGTTTCAAAGGTGGTGGCCTGGGGCCGCCGCAGTGACGCCGGCGGGAGGGGGGTGGCGGGGGGCCAGCTCAGCCTCTCAGGGCAACGCGTCCACCTCCCCGGGGGAGACCAACGGCTCATTTTAGAGTGACTGACTTTAACTGAGATCCAAGCCGGTTTGTCTGAGCAAACCAGAGACCCGAAATATTCCTCACAAAGGGCTGTGAGTGGTCGGGGGGCTGTGCGGTTGTTAGTGACGGTTTTGTTTTGATCAACAGACTTTCTTTTTTAGAGCAGTTTTAGGCTTACAGAAAATTGAGCAGACAGTACAGAGAATTCCTAATACCCCCCGTTTCCCTGCACACAGCCCCCCTATTATTAAGGTATTATGAGTGTGGTGCATTTGTTACAGTCGATGAACCAACACTGATACGTTATTATTAACTCAAGTCCATAGTGTACGTTAGGGTTCACTCCCAGAGTTGTGCATTCTGTGGATTTTCACAAATGTATAATGTCATGTGTCCACCGGACAGTGTCATACAGAATCGCTCCACTGCCCTAAAAATCCCCCACGCTCCACCTATTCATACCTCCGACCCCCTGCACCTGCTATGTTAGTGACATTTTCAGGCCTCCGGGTGAGTTCACACAGTGGACCAGACACGGAGAACGGATCTGAGCTGCCATGGAGGGAAGCCACAGCTGGTACTCGCTGGGCCCGGGAGCGGCTGCCAGCCTTCTGGAGGTAGGGCGGGAGGAGAGTAAGCGAGTGGGGGCCGTGCTCTGCCTTCCTCAGCTGGCGTCCCACACCGGACCTGCCAGGTACGTGCCCAGGACCTAGAAATGACATGCCACAAAGATGCACCCTCTTGAGAGGAACCCGTGGACACTCAGCATACTTCCAGTGTGCCCAGCTGGGCATGACGTGGACACGCATGCTGTGGGGCCAGAGACAGGCGTGACTGTCATGCTCTGTGTCAGACAGGCCAGAGTCTGGCTCCCAGCTCTCCCCAGAGGGGGCCTTGGGCAAGGGCCACCATCATCCTGAGCCCAGGTTTCTTCATCCGGAGCACGGAGGCAATTCTCGCACTCTGTCTGGAGGTGAGATACTACATAGAAGAGAAGTAAGATAATGCGGCCTGTAAGTGAGATGCTGTGCCTCGCACCGGGGGGCAGTTCAACAAATATTTGCCGTGAAATTGGCTTCTTTTCTCACCACCACTCCTGTTGCTGCTAATGGTATTGTTTAAAGGGTCAGGAAGGCATCTCAGTGTTGGAGGTGTTTAAAGAGTCAAGAATGTGAGTAGGAATTTTCAAGGCAGAGAGTGGAAGGGCACGTCAAGGAGAGGGAATACCATCTGCAAAGGCTCAGGGGCCCAGACGAGCAAGGCTCAGGGGACAGGAGTGCTCAGGTGGGAGGCAGGGAACAGAGGCTCCAGGCAGGGTGGGAGGAGGGCAGGGTCAACGTATTAAAGAGTTGGGACTTTATCCTCCAGGCAATGGGAGCCATGGGGGACCTTGGAGCAGGGAACTAACACCTGCCCTTCTTGATCGTCTGTTCTTGGAGTAGGAACAAGTGTATGTTTTCTTGGGAAGCCACAGAATTGCATGTCTTTACACACTTTGGGGAAATGGGTACAAATTACCTGCCCGGGAGACGCTTCCTGGTGCCCGGACATTGGAGCACAGGCTGTGCAGACACCCGGGCACGCGGTGGGGGCTGTCCTGAGCAGCTGCACCCACCCCGTCTTGTCCTCTCCCCTGCAGGAGAACCCCTACCTGTGCAGCAACGAGTGTGACGCCTCCAACCCGGACCTGGCCCACCCGCCGCAGCTCATGTTCGACAAGGAGGCGGAGGGGCTGGCCACGTACTGGCAGAGCGTCACGTGGAGCCGCTACCCGAGCCCGCTGGAGGCCAACATCACCCTTTCGTGGAACAAGAGCGTGGAGCTGACGGACGACGTGGTGGTGACTTTCGAGTACGGCCGGCCCACCGTCATGGTCCTCGAGAAGTCCCTGGACAACGGGCGCACGTGGCAGCCCTATCAGTTCTACGCGGAGGACTGCATGGAGGCCTTCGGCATGCCTGCGCGCCGGGCCCGCGACCTGGCCGCCTCGGGCGCCCACCGCGTGCTGTGCACCGAGGAGTACTCGCGCTGGGCCGGCTCCAAGAAGGAGAAGCACGTGCGCTTCGAGGTGCGGGACCGCTTCGCCATCTTCGCCGGCCCCGACCTGCGCAACATGGACAACCTCTACACGCGGCTGGAGAGCGCCAAGGGCCTCAAGGAGTTCTTCACGCTCACCGACCTGCGCATGCGGCTGCTGCGCCCGGCGCTCGGGGGCACCTACGTGCAGCGGGAGAACCTCTACAAGTACTTCTATGCCATCTCCAACATCGAGGTCATCGGCAGGTAAGGCCCGCTGCGGGGCACCGGGATGTCACCTGGTTCCTGGGATGTTACCTGGTTCCTGGGATGTTATCTGGTTCCTGGGTGGTTACCTGACACCTGAGATGATGCCTGGTTCCTGGGTGGTTACCTGGTACCTGAGACATTACCTGGTTCCTGAGATGTTGCTTGATATCTGGGATGTTACTTGCTTCCTGAGATGTTACCTGGTTCCTGGAATGTTGCCTATTACCCAGGATGTCACCTGGAACCCGAGATGTTACCTGGTTCCTGGGATGTTACATCAAGGGCCTGCCTATGAGGGCCAGGGCTGCACAGACAAGATGCCCGGGTTCTTCCTTGGATGGAGGTGAATGGTGGAGGATAAACATCCTCCGTAGGGCCTGGGCTGCCTCCAGCCACGGGGCTGGGAGCTCTGGAGGGGATGAGTGGAGCTGCACAGTGTGGGCAGGGCTTAGGCAGAAGGCTGGCGCTCAGGAGGTGTTTCCTAACTGTCCGCTGACTCAGTGAATGGGCACTTGTGTCTGGGGGTCCCCAAGACCATACTCAGGCTCCACGATCTGCGCAGAACCTAGCAAAGCTGTTATACTTGCAGTTATAGTTTATGACAATGAAAGGACACAGATTAAAATTGGCAACAGGAACAGGTGCATAGGGCAGGCTCCAGGCAAGACCCGTGCAAGATTCCGTCACCCTCTCCCAGGGCAGTGGTGCAGACAGCGCTTGACTCTCCCAGCAATGATGTGGAACAACACGTGCGGACTAGCGCCAGCCAGGGAGGCTCGCCCCAGCCTTGGTGTCCAGGGTTTTTATTGGGAATTGATCTTGTGGGCATGGCCGACTGCCCCTGTGGTTGACCTTGGTCCTCAATCCCTTGACCCAGAGGTCAAGCTAATCCTGCAAGCCCCAAAACCTCCACCATAAATCCCATCATTAGCATAAACTATCCGGTGTGGCCCAAGGCCCCAGGTAAACAGACACGCTTATCAGGCAGGACATTCCAAGGGCTCGGAGGTTCCCTCCCAGGAGCCGTCAAGACCCAAACTTTTCTTTGGAAAATGCAGGGTGTGGACAACCCAGACCTGCAGAGTTAATCCTTCCCCTCAGCTTTGGAGGAGAATATGTTCTGAGGACACTTTTAGGGGAGATAAAAGACCGTTGTAGGAAGTAGAAGCAGCCTTTGATTCCCAGGAATTGTTTAGATTGTAGATGATTAAATGGTTCTACTCTGTCCCAGATCACTTGTTCATTTGACAGGTGATGTGCTGGTCTGAAGGGGCAAGGACTTTATCCCCGACACCCTGGTCCACACAGGAGAGAGGCTTGGGGAGGCCCTGTCACTGGGTAACCAAGGGGTCAATCATAGGGGGCAGTAGCAGGTAATGCAAGGGGTCTCCAAAGGTGGTTCCTGGGCCAGCAGTATCAGCATCACTTGGAAACTTGCTAGAAATGCAAATTCTCAGGCTCCACACCAGACCTGCCGCATCATAAATTCCAGGGGTGGGCCTAGCAATCCATGTTTTAATTAGCCCTCGGGGGGATTCTGATGCACACTCTGGTTTGAGAAGCGCTGGTGTGGCGGTTGGGAGTATGGACTCTGGAGCCAGATGGCCTGGGTTGGATTCCCAGCTCTGCCATCCACTGGCTGTGAGACTCTGGACAAGGACCTCTCTGTGCCTCGGTTTCCCCATCTATGGAATGGGGATGATAACAATCATGGCTCTCTCACTAGATTGTGGTGAGAGTTAGGTGAGTTAAAGTGGGGCATACTCAGGGCCAGGAGCGCAGCTTCGGCGGGCGTGGGCAGGGGCTGCACCAGGAACCTGGCTGGGACAACCTATCCTGGACATCTTTCCCCAGCAGGCTCTGGGGACGGCCTGAGTATATAATTACTGATGAGCGGAAAAGCAATTTGCTGCATGGTCTGTATAGTGTAATCCCATTTTTGTAAAATATATAATTTGCCTGTGTGCACGTGATTTCTACGTCTTGAATAGACATTGGAAAGAAGTCTGTCCGGGCACAGGAAAGCACCATGGGTACGGGGGGGGGAAGGCTGGCAGCTGAAGCCCGTCACTGTGGGCACACCTGCATGCCGGGCAGGGCAGGGGCCGTGAGGGGCTTTCGTTTTCTGCTTGTGTCTGCGTTTCATTTCGCTTTGTGTGTGTGGACTCCAGGTGGGCCCAGGTGGAGGCAGGTGGTTCAGGAGGTGGGGTCAGGTTCAAGGCCGGCAGGTGGGTGTGAGGCAGGTGCACACGCAGGGCCTGTGCTTCTGATGCCCGTGACTTCTAACCCTCCCCACGTGGGGCAGGATACTTTAGATCAGGAATGTTCTGGAGACCACCTGATATATGGCCACTGTTGTGGAAGCCAGGGATCAAGAATCGAACTCCTATGCCTGTTTCTCTGGCCTGTGTCCAGGCTTTGGGCCTGTGGTCACTTCAGTGACCTCTGCCTGCCCTCGGGATGCAATGGCCGGGCCAGTATAAGACCCTCCTCCGCCCCGCAGTCCTACCCGCGTTAGCTGCTTATGAGTGGGAACCAGATCCCCACACCTTCTGGGGGCTGTGGCCCCTGTTCTGGCCTGCCTTGGGCTGCTACAGGGGGACCCTCACCTTCAGGAGTCTGGTCAAGGGCCCGCCTTCACTTCATTAGGCAGCTCATGTCGGGTCCTGATGTCAGCATGGGCTGCAGGGTCCGGGCTGGGTGGTGACAGTCGGGCTCTGTGCCCCTTACACCTCAGGGGGTGAAGGTTGTCTGTCGCATAGCAGGGACTCTGAGATGCAGCGGTGAGGCAGAGCTTACCCATCAGGGGCGAGAAAGAACCTCAGGCCTTCAGCCCCACCAAATCAAGAACGCCATGCTGGGGCGGGGTGAGCTGGGGGCCGGGTGAGCTGGGTTCCAGCCCCGCACCGCTGCACCTCCCTGGGCCTCGGTTTCCCATCTGTAACATGAGGCCTGGGGCCACCCAGAGCCTGCGTCTCCCTGGCAAGGTGGCAGGGCGGTCCCTGCGCGGCAGCCCCCGGCTCCCCTTGGCACCCAGCCTCTGCGGGCGGCGGGGATTAGCGGTAGCTGTGGCAAAAGTACGGCAATCAATTCACAGAGAGAGTAAGTACTCTTCAGGTGGCTGGTTGGCAGGAAAGCGGCAGCTTGGCTTATCGATTAAGCAGATCTGGTTAGACGGTTCAGCAAAGAGCTGTGACTTCCTCCGCTTTTCCTGTTTAAATTCCAGGTGGGAAAGCCCAGCTGTGCCAGGCGGCCCGAGAGGCCCAGAGAGGCAGGATGGGGTGGCAAAGGCGACGTGGGGCCCAGATAATGCTCTTGATGTTCCTGAGTGGGCACCTGGGGACCCCCAGGGGCTCCCAGGTTCTGAGATTTCAGACTGAACCTGTTCTTGGATTCCCTCAGAGGTTCATGACCCAGAGTTGCCTCCCCCTGTAGCCTGCTACCATAGCTGATATTTACTGAGCATTTGCTATAGGCTCATTTCCTATTGGGCACTGAGCTAGGCTTCATGTGCATTTTCTTATTTAATCAATAGTCATTTGATTCCCCCATGGTTATTGAATCCCTAAGATCTCACAAGCCAAGGACATGGCATTGAGCAAGCCAGACCTGATCCCCACCTGGTAGAGCTTTCCTTACAGGAACAGCGCTCCCCTCTGCCTCATGTTTTTAGACGAGGTCAAGGAATCTAAGGAGATCACACAGCTAAACTGAACACCAGACAGCCAAGATCCAACCCAAGCACATCCAAGCTCAAGTCCATCTCTATATGGGGCCATTTCATCAGCCTCCCTTTCTGAATCCAAAGGTCTTTGATACTGTGGTTACTCCCTTCCTGTCATTAATGTCAGCTATTTCCAACTTCAGGGGGACCCAGATAGCAGGGGAGGGAAGCAGAGGGCAGAGGCACTTGGCTGCTGGGGGGAGAGGGCAGCAGCTGGGGAAAGCCCAGGCCCAGGGAATGAGGAACTAGTACAAATCGGGGGGTAAGAAAAGGGGCAGACCGAGCTGCTGCCCCATGGAGGGGAAGGCAGGGAACAGCCTCCAGCACCTCGAGGCCTCTGCCCCCACCGGCCTGGCCTCCCTGCAGGTCCTGGTGAAACAGGCTTCCAGTCCTGCCCACCCCAGGTCTGGGATGGAGAGAGGAGGGGGCCTGCCCCCTTATTCAGTCTCATTCCTGGATGGCAGGAAGGCTCGGGAGCTACTTTCTCCTTTCACACCCCTGGAGGGGAGGAGGGGCTCAGGTGCAGAGCAGGAGAGCGGCTGGCTTTAACTGTGCAGCGAATCTGGGACGACACCTGGATTTGAGGAGGAATGAGATCACCCCTTTGCTGTGCTTGGAGCAGAGACAGCCCCCACCTCTACCCCCAACACAGTGGTCTAGAGCGGCTAAGCCCAGACCCAGCCAGCGTCACACAGGGATGCTTCTTTTTTTGTGTGTGTGTGAGGAAGATCAGCACTGAGCTAACATCCGTGCTAATCCTCCTCTTTTTGCTGAGGAAGACCGGCTCTGAGCTAACATCTATTGCCAATCCTCCTCCTTTTTTCCCCAAAGCCCCAGTAGATAGTTGTATGTCATAGTTGCACATCCTTCTAGTTGCTGTATGTGGGACGTGGCCTCAGCATGGCCGGAGAAGTGGTGCGTCAGTGCACACCTGGGATCCAAACCCGGGCCGCCAGTAGCGGAGCGCGCGCACTTAACTGCTAAGCCACGGGGTCGGCCCCCAGGGGCACTTCTTAAGAGGACGGGTTCCCCAGCCCCACCGCCAGGAGCTCTGGATCCCGTCAGTTTGGGGCAAGATCTGGAAAGCTGTGTCTACAGAGCTCCTCAAGCGAGTTGGAGAGGCGGGAGCCTCCAGATAGAATTTGCACTTGGGCATCATTAGACCAACCAGGATCTGAATCCCGGCTCCATCACTGATTAGCTGGATCATCTTAACCTGCCTGAGACTCAGATTTGTCATCTGCAAACTGGAGGTATAGTAACAACCTCACCA